AATCTTACCTACTTTAAAAAAAAAGCCAAATTGAGATAATTAAAGTTAGAACTTTAAAATGTTTATAAATCGTTTCTATGAAAAAATTAGTCTCCAGTGAATTTTAGTGATGGCTCATTTTTCCATTTTGGAATTACATAGTTATCTAAATAGAACTTTAAAAAAAAACAAAAAAAAAATGGAACACCGGTATAGTTCATCATAAACAGAAAATTAAAATGAGGTTAAAGTTTTTAGTCATATTTTTGAGGTCAGTATTGCACAGTGAATTGGAAAATTTTAATAGAAAAATGTCTACAGTTTTGTGATTAAGTTGGCTCAAACCAATACATTATTTAATGTAGGCAACTTTTTGTCTTTCCCTCATATGAATAAAGGAAATCCCCTGCATTCATTTTAGAGTCTGTACATATAGAGTACTAAGTTTTGGTCTATATTTAGAGGTTTTTTAAGATATTATATATAATTTGGTTCTCAGAACTAGTATTAGTAGATTACTCTTCTAAGGGAAATTAGAAGTGATGTTAATGTATTCCAGTGGAATATATTAATGCTTGATATGGCTCTCTTTAGTAGTGTGACTTTTAGGAAGTATCTTGCTAATTAAATGGAAGCTAACAATCTTAAAATAGATGGCTTTCCTAACAACAGGAATTTCCAGGCTCCTGTGGCTCATGCCACAGGAGACCTGGAAGCTTGAGGTTCAAAGTCAGTCAGGGCAGAAAAGTGTGAGACTCCCATCTTTTATTAAGCAGCAACATACCTGATTGGAGCCATGACTCAAGTCAGAGTTCCAGCTATAAGCTATCAAGCTGCATGAAAGTGAGGCATTGAGTTCAAGCCCCTGTACTGGCACCAAAAAAATTAAAAAAGAAAAAAGGAAAAAAAATAAGGTAATAATGGTTTTGCATACATGATTTATGCTTTTCAAAAACGATGGTATATTCTTTCAGCTGCACAGAAATGAGAAAAAGGTTGCACTTGAAAATTAAGTGCAATTATGGTATTTCCCCTTATAAATAGTAAAAAAAAAAAAAAAAAAAAAACTTTAAAGGAATACTTGTATTAGTGGATGAGTTTTTTTTAAGAACTTTGGAAATGGATTTGACAGTACATATAAATCAGTTCTACTAACCAAAGTTTATTTGAAAATTTACTTTTTGTACAAATTAAATTACATAATGCTTGAAATACTTATATGTCACTTTATAAACAAAATAGCACTTATTTGTTTATATTGTAAAGTATATGTAAAATGCTTTTATCAATTTGAGAATAAAAATAGTTACTATAATATTGTTGCATTATTATAATCTTAACTATGTAACCATATATTCTTTAAAACTAGTTAAACTTACAAATCAGTAGTTTTAGTTTTAAGTCTATATTTGGATATAATTTTTCAGCTGTGGTAGGCTGCCTTCTTTGAAGAAAGATTAAGCACATGGGCTCTGTACTTAAAATAAGCTCTGATGCCTATAAAATTTACCATGAAATATGTATTTTCCAAAATTGTGTGCAGAAAATGATTACAAATAAAGAATAGGACCAGGCTCTAGGGCTGACACTGTACTCCTATCTATTCAGGAGGCTGAGAGAAAAGCCTGAGAGATTACATCCCAAGTAACCAGCAAAAAACCAAAACGGGTTCAGGAGGCTGAGATCCAAAGGTCATGATTCAAAGCCAGCTCAGGCAGAAAAGTATGAAATTCCTGTCTGCAATCCACTAAAGAGCCAGAAGTGGAAATGTGGTTCAAGTGGTAGTGTCAGTCTTGAGTGAAAAAGCCAAGTGAGAGTGCAAGTCCCTGAGATCAAGCCCCAGTACCAGTGCACGTGCATACACATGCATGCCTCAGGTGTGATAGTTAAGGAATAATTTTTCTGCATATTAACATTTTTATAAGTGTGACTTACTACTTAAAAATCCAGTTACGTTTTAAAGAGTTCTTCAACTGGCTAGACTGTGTCCCAGTACTGGACACTGTCCCTTAGCTTTTTCGCTCAAGGCTAGCACTCTTACCACTTGACCCACAGCTCTGGCTTTTTTGGTGGTTAACAAGAGTCTCACAGTCATTTTTGCCGGGGGTTGGCTTTGAACTGTCACCGCAGATCTCAGTTTCCTGATAGCTAGGATTACAGTTGTGAACCACCATTGTCGAGCTGGCTTGTTTTTGAGATTAGGGTTTCAGTAACTTTTGCCCATGCTGGTCTGAAATTGAGATTTTCGTTTGCCTCCTGAATAGCTGGGATTATGTGCATGTCCCACCACAACCAACCCTTTCTGAATTTTGAAAAGTAGCTAATATTCATTGGTGGTTCCAAGAAATAGTTATTTTTATCTTTTGACTTTATTAGGTGACACTCTGGGTATACTTTTCCAATGTCTAGCCATTTATTGTAAAGCCCTAATATTCAGACTCACAAAGACATGGTTTCTTTTAAAGGAAATATTTATACATTTATAACTTAAAGCTAACAATAAAATAGAAATCACATTTAATTTACACAGTAACTCAAGGAGCAGCAACATGTAATTAGCAGATTCCTGCCTCAGGTTGGTTTGGGTTTCTCAGTTAACATTTGAAAACTTGCTCTTGAATAGTCATTGTTTTCCTTTGAAAAAGGCTTGAAAGATTTAAGTCTTAGAAATGTTTACTGAGTGCCATGTATCTGTTTTAGCCACCTGAATCTATATAGTACTTTCTCAGAACTTCATTTAGTGTTCTCAAGAACAATGAAAATACCTTAAATGGCTTTTAACACAAAATTTAGAATCTTTCTCTAAAACCCAAGTTCCAGGTTACAGATATCCTCATTTTATTTGGTATGGAACTAAGTTCTGTGACTTTCAATTGACACAAACCTGGTATAACAATCTCTTCTTATAGGTCCAACAGTTCTGGAAATCCAGAGTAATTTCAATAATCTGGTAAAAATTTGTGTTATGCAGGTTTAGCCACTAGATGGTGCTAATGTAATGATCCAGTTTTCCCGTGACATTGTGAAGATCCTTTAGCAGGTTAAGGAGGCAGCATTAATATCAGCAGACAGACTGGATGGCAGTGAAGGAAAGTGTATTTGAGGAGACTTTACCTAGGCAGGAGGCAGAATGGTATAGTGCTGTGCTGCTCAAGCTATGGTTTTATTGAGTTTGTATTTTAGTAATACTTTTGAAAAACACAAAATGAATTCCTAGTTGAATGAAATAAGAACTAAGACATAAATTACAAGCCTCAGCTTAAAAAAAATTAGATTCAACAGAAATAAAATCTCCTACAAATTGCCTATAAGTTTCTAAATGCTTCCAGTCAAAATTTTAATTCTTCATAAATGGGTAATATTTGGTGGACAGGTACTGGTCGAAAGACCTTATTTTCTTCAGTGCTGAGAAAACAGTGCATCCATTTCAGTCAGTCAGCAGGACCTGAGATAAAAATCTGACTCCATTATTACTAACTGGGTAGTTATGGAATGATCACTTGACCTTACTAAGCTCCAATTTATTGCACCACACAAATAACATCTATAATTAAGCTTTTTATATGCACTCAATGATTGTACTAACCTCTTAGCAAACACTCAAACATGAGCTAAAACTGATTTGGCCCATTTACATATTAAATGTTTGTCTCTGATCTCCACTGCATCATATTCCTACTTTCCACAAAGAGGAAAATGCGTGTTCAGTTCACTATAAAATACAGAACTTGTTTGGCCCTAAAACAAAAACAGACATAAGAGATCCCTGACAAAACCTGTCTTCTCTAGGAGGAGCACCCTGTTCCACTGTGCTGGTCCTGTTTGGGGGACAGAGTCAGAAGTATACACCCAACCATGAATGCACTCAAGTACTAACTACACTGTCAGCTCAAAGTCTACTAAATTACAAAATCTAGGAAAAGGTGGCAATAATCTTTATTGGGCAGGCTCAAGGATGACACTTTGTTCTTTGATTAATCATTACAGTCCTAAAACATTAGTACTCTCTGACCTTCCTATGTAAACAGATATGACATCAACCTTGTCAAAAATCCTGAGAGATGAATCATTTTAGAGTGAAGGAAACTAAAGAATATAATATCCAGGTACAAAAAAAAAAAAAAAAAAAGCTAGTTCTTAGCTACTTCTAAAGTGCTAGTCAGAAATTTTGCTCTTTAATAGTGTATTTACCACATCTGAAAGCACAACTCGGGCTCCAGTGTCCAAAAAAAATTATAAATTATGTGAAACAAACATGCACAACTTGACCTAGTTCCAAAAGTTCCAACAGCTGTAATGGTGCTGTTAAGGTTTGCCCAGAAAACTGCCAGAGAAAAACTGCTTCCGACAGAAAAAAGAAGTTCATTCTGAACTGCCAGCCCTCATGCAATGGAGGTGCGCATGGAAGGGGTGAACACCTGGCGGGATTGGGCTGAAGGTAGGGAGAAGTGAGGAGTGGTCACAGTGGATGTGGAAGTGACCTCGAGTCTTGGAAAAACCCCCAAGGTCTGAAGGAGGCAGAACAGAGACAGTCCAGGATGTGACCTCAGAGAAAGGATCACCTAGGTAACGCTGGTGCTGTGGAGACTTCTAGGGAAGGACATGTATAGTCCTGCATGGAAAAGAAGGCCAGGAGGGGGGAAGTCTACCTGCAGACTGGCACGGCAAGCCTAACAAATGCAAACCTCCGAAAAGCACTTAAATGAAAGCCCAACTGCTGTATCAAAGTAGTTCCCACCATGCAAATGTGTCTATTAGTACCAAAGAAGCTCTGTATCTGATAGGAACCATCCTACTCCATGTTAACACGCTCAGAAATTGAAATCAAGATCACTGAGTGTGCTCACTTTTCTCCATATAATAAGTGTTTTTAGCTTCTTCCCACAAGAAAAGTCCTGAACTATTCATATGAAGCAATTTTACCAAAGTACATTTTTACTTTTCTGCCCGAAGGAATCCACAAATGTAAAATTATTCCTGAAAAACTGGTGCTGGTGGCTGGAGGAGGAAGAGCAGTAGAATTAAGTTTTTGTGTTTTTTTAATTGATTTTAAAAAATTTTATGTATTAGGTAAAGGGATTTCTTCATATGTTATCTTAATAAAAGGGAATTTCATAGGTAAGAACCAATATTCAAAATTATAAAACAAGTAGAATTGTCTGTGTATCACCACTGAGTCAAAAATTTGCAAGAGACTCCAGAGAAATTCTTTAGTTGACAAATGTGGTTTGAACGGGTAATAGAATCTTTTTATGACTGAAGCAAGAGTCTTGTTTCCTCCTGGCCCAAAAATAGATGTTTCATTTCCCAAGTAAGTAGGTTCTCCACTGTAAAGAAATATTCTCGTATAGTTGGTTTCTGCCTTCTTGAACTCTGCGCCAAGCTCAGCCAGCTTCTCATATGTTCTTAACACAAACTTCGAGCAGTCATAGGATTCAAACCACGTTTCCACCCCTTTTCCTGGGCTAGCTTGGACAGTCCATGTCTCATAATAAATCCCCGTTTCATTGTCCTCTTTCACCCACTTTGCCATCTTGTTAAATGTATTTCCTAGTTTAAAAAGAAGAACAAAACCATGTAAACATCAAAGACAATTACGTTAACTTTAAGACAAGTTCTGACCTGATTAAGACTGCAGATGCACATAAATAAGAGACAGTCTTGAATTTCCAAACCAACAGGAATCTAAGCTCAGGCATTTTTTTTAATCCATTCTTCAAGGCCTTTCTGAATTACAAACACTGGATATAATAAAGAGAAGTCTTCCTAACTTGATAATCATTTAAGCTATAGTCAAAGTGAGGTTAAGTAAATAATAGTTCTTATGCTACTCAATACACTTTGGATTCAGAGGCAAAAGAAAAAAGGGGGAGCAAGGAAGGGATTGGGAAGAGGAAAAGCTGAATGGATGAAGTCAACCTAAGTACCACAGAGGAGGAGGATGAGTGTTACAAAGCATGGGATGCTAGCAGAAAGAACAGCTGCCTGCTGAGGAAGGTTGGCTGGTGTGCTTCAAGCTACAAGAAGTACCCCCTCTTCCATGGAATATGTGCTGTTTCCCTTTTCCTCCTGATTATAATTCCATACCTACTATAGAAATTGTTCCAATGAATCAGTTTGGGCCAACTTCACCCACTGCACAGATCCCAGGATGGCTAACTCTCTTTTACTACCATTCTATCAGCACAGAGTTAGAAAATACTTACTGGGCATTATAAATGCCTAACAGAGCTAGGCTCTAACATTTCACTTTTTCACCATATCTAATATGTTTGCAAAACAGTGGATGATGCATGCATCAATTTAATGGAAATAAAATTGCATACTGTTTTCTTAGAACTGGGAACAATATTGTAGTTGTTCAACTTTGGAAGTACTGATGTTCTTATGAGATAAGCCATGGCTGGGCTCCAAAACACTAACTTGAAAAATGAAGGTCACTGAATAGGATTAATCACAAGGCAGGATGGGACAATTTGGAAGACTGAAGTACTTACTTCCATTTTATAAACTGTTTTATAGCAAACAGTGGTCATTGTTTGTATGATCATTATGTCAAAAGGAAAAGTTTCAGATTATATAGGCAGAAATGGAGAACTGGCTTGGCATGGAAGAGAAGCTATTTTATTAAGCATGTGGATGGAGATGGACTTTCATTTTGCTAGAATGGTTTGGGACATCCTAAAGAAAATCTCATATAAAATATTTAAAGTGTTCTGGAGGGCCTCAAACATGAAGATCATATGCATTTTGAGAGAGAGTATACCAGAATTATTGAGAGTATTGGTCTATGTAGCTTGATTGCCGGGGCTGGCATCCCACTTAGCTCTCTAACCTCTTCTCTGCCTCAGTTTCCCATCTGTACAATTGGGAAAATAACAGTAACTATCTCTTAGGGTTGTTCTGAGAGTACTTTGGTATGTGTAGCACTCAGAAGATGGCTGGGCCCAGAGCAAGTCTATGTGAATAGTAATGGTAGTATTATCTAATTACTACATTTTTTTTTGCCAGTCCTGGGGCTTGAACTCAGGGCCTAGGCTCTGTTCTCTCTGTGCTCAAGGCTAACACTCTACCACTTGAGCCACAGCACCACTTCAGGCTTTTGCTGAGTAGTTTATTGGAGATGAGTCTCATGGACTTTGCAGCCTAGGCTGGCTTTAAACTACAATCCTCAGATCTCATCCTCCTGAGTAGTCAGGATTATACGCATGAGCCACTGGCACCTAGCTTATTTACTATATTCTTAATAAATAATTTACCATTGCTAAAAATAAATCATATATAGTTAGTAGATACCTTATGGATTTCTTCTTTCAATTCTATTTAGCAAGTCCAATTAAATAGTACAAAGCATCTTATTACACTCATTTTTACTACAGAGTTGAGAAGTAAAGCAGCAGATAAGCTCTTCATCTCCCATAGGTAAAGCTCTCTATAACGACCACGTGGAGTTACATGCAGCCAGAACAATCTAAAAGTGAAGTCTAAAAAGTAGAACAGGACTGAATTGTCTCAACAGAGGAACTGTCTCTGCAGGTGAATGCTACCACAAAACACTACCACATTTTTGAAACTTACCTGATATCGTTGCTATGAGGGCTAATGTCCCATTTTCCTTCCAGTGGACATCGTCAATTCCTTCAAAAAAGCAGGCAGCTCCTTGATTACACCAGAAAGGGGCATCCATTTCAGGTCGGAGGTGAGGAAATGTACAGTTGCCAAGTTGGAAAAGTTCATACCATTCCATTGTGTAGTTCTTGCCAGTTAATGTATTCCTAAATCCGATGGCATCATGCATAATTTTCTGTGTAGAAAGAAAACACCAGCGGAGTAACTCTGGGTCGGGTCACCAGATGGAAGAAAGCGTCATATGCCACACACACGTCCGTTAACCAGCTGTCTTCCTGTGCCCTTGTCCTGGCCCCTCAAGCTCCCAAGCTCTCATCCACTCTGGTTCTAGTCACTGAAGCTCATCCCATGGCTGGGATAGGTGCTATGCACAAACACTCATTATTTTCTTACAGCTTAGAATAAATGTGAGAGACATCCATGCCAGTCTCAGGAAGGAGCTCTGCCCACCTCACGTCACAATTGGGCTAAACTGGAAAAGTGCCTACAGCACAGCAGGGCCTGTAACCAAGAAGTGACTTCCTGCCTGTCCTGCCCCTTCTTCTGAGCCTCTCTCCTCATTTCCCTGGGGTCAGACTTATAATATTAAAAGAGATTACATCAAGTATATTTGTTATTGATTATATATACATATATGCACATTTATATTTATACACACATACCTATGTTTATACAAATATGTACATTTTTTGAGGTAGGTTCTTGCTCTATATTATAGAACTAGAACTTAAGATGTCCCTGTTTCAACCTCCTGAGTGCTGAGAGTACAGGTATGTGCCCCCATACCCAGTTTGATTGTCACTTTTTTTTTTGGTCGGTTGTGGGGCCTGAACTCTGGGCTTGGGTGCTGTCCCTGAGCGCTCTACCGCTTGAGCCATAGCGCCACTTCCTGTTTTCTAGTGGTTTATTGGCGATAAGAATCTCACGGACTTTCCTGCCCCGGCTTGCTTTGAACAGTGATCCTCAGATTTCAGTCTCCTGAGTAGCTAGGATTACAGGCGTGAGCCACTGGCGCCCGGCTGATTGTAACTTTTTCTGAAAGTATATTTGACAAATGATTCATACAAATCAGAAAAGATAAACCAATTTAAGATTGGGGTAGGAGTTAGATTAGTATGCACCCCAAATAACAATAAATATGAAAAGCACTAAACATCATTATCAGGAAAATGCAAATTATAGTCATCATGACCTTTTATCACTTATCTCCTAGAATGGCATAGAAAAATTTTTAAAAACTTAACAATTCTAAGTGTCAGAGAAGATATGGAAATAACTGGAATTCCCTGTCACTGATAAAGTGAGGATTAATTAGTACTACTTCAGAAAATTGAAGTTAAAGAAGCACCTATCCTATGATCTATCAATTCTCCTGGGTTTCATACATTAGAAATAAGTGTTATGTCCACTAAAAGGAATATGTAATAATGCACAGAACAGCACTGCTGTTATTATTATTCTACAATTCTGGGGCTGGAACTCAGGACCATGTGCATGTTAGTCAAATGCTCTACCACTGAGCCACACACACAGTCCAGCAATATTTGTGTAGGTAAAAACTGAAAAGGCTGGGAGTGTAGTTAAGTGGTAAGAGTAATTTCCAGAGGCTCTTGGGTCCTATCCCCAGCACCAAAAATAAAAGGAGAAGCAATCCAATTATCCATCCACAGAGATATTTTGGTATATTCCATTAATTCAATAATTTATGCAGTATATTTAAGGTAAACAGAAGAAACTATCAATAAACAGTATGTTGAATCATACAAATGCAATGCTGATAAAAATAAATCAGTACATTATGTATATGATAACAATGGAAGCAAACCTACTATGGTGTTAGAAGTCAGAAAAACTGTGTTTGGAGGTCAGGCTCAGTTTGTAGAGTTCTAGTCAATGAACAAAAGCATCAGATACTGAGTTCAAAAGAAAAGAAGTAGGAAAAATCTTTGATGAAGAGTTTCTGACAGAAGTAGAAGGAAAGCACGGCTATATGGTACTGGAGGAATAAACAGGCAAGTTAGAATGCCAGAAATCTCATGTACTTGGATGTAACTAATTTTGAACTACCATTTAAAATATGGTAAGAAGTACAACAGTAGGTATAATCTAAATGGGACCATTTGAGTACTGATGACTTCCTCAAATCAACTTAATAACAAATCAGTAAATTAATTAAAACTTTGTAAGATCAAGATGCATCCTTACCAAGTGTCCCAGGAGATTTCCATACTTAAATTCCCAAACTGGAGTCTGTAGTCGGAAGACTTCAATGATGTCATTGCCCTTCATAAGTGGGATGGGTGAGCCAGTGGGACAGAAGGTGTACTTTGCTTGACAGTAAGGATCTGGTTCCGGCCGGAAGGAAAAGCGTCTAAGAGGACAGACAACCCATCAAATGACATTCTAAGAGGAAGTGGTTCTTTGCATGCCTCTAGAACTCCAGATTTTCATTTCAGCAACATTGTTAGGGAAAATGAAGTTTGGATCATAGTGAATAAATATGAACATTTTAGTTTTCTTGTGAATACACTTTCATATTTTCTTTATGGGCATATCTTAGGGTATATTCTACATGCACTGAAGAACTAACCAACATTCAATCAACTAATGTTCACTATGTGTACGGCCATCGTGGGAAGGAGAAAAATAAAAAGTCTAATGCTGTTCCCTTCCTTATAGAGCCTGGATTGGGGGCTGGGAAGACAAGTGCATCATAAGGTGTGCTGCTGGGCAAAGCACAAAGGAAGCAAAACACTGTGATACAAAGGAGTCACAACTGTTCACCTGGCGCATGCGATAGAAGAGGGCACAGATAGATGGTGGACAACCTAGGCTAGGCTTTAAGTACTTACAAAGAAGGCTAGGACAGAAAAGGAGGGGAAATATTAAGTATTATGAAACAAATGCATTTCAAGAGTCTTCAGTAGGGATGAAAAACTGAAATTAGGGTTTCAAGGCTGTAATGGAGGGGGAAGAGGAAGGGAGGGGCTGTCACTTGGACTCTGGCATTGAGAAGTGTGAACAGCTCACAGTTTTGCTTTGGGAAGAGAGTAGGTGACTGCAAGAGTTCAGGCAAGAAAAAGAAGGTTGGAGAAAGCCACAGAGCATTCAGACTTACTGGTCACCTTCCATACCTGGCACTGAAGAGAAGGAAGAATAAGAAGTGTTTTCTATCCAGTAAGGATTTCAAGAGCCAGAAGTTTCACACCAAAAATATTATGATCCTAACACATGAATACAACTCCTATTTTAATTTAAGTACTTGCCTTATTTAAGCCAAATATATGTAAGGTTCATTTATCCCAACCAAAAAAAAAATCGACTTTAAATCAAAGGTAATTTGAAAAGCACAAAATTCAAGTATGAACTCACTAACAAAGGTAAGTATTCACCTCGGGGGCTGAAGAGCGGGATGGACTTAATTGCTGGAACGGAAGTCATGGGCAATTTCTTGTCTTAAAAAAAAATTACACCAAACAGCTTTGTATTTACAACCTCCTGTCTGTAGGCTAGGCGTTCACTTGGGGACTTTTTTTTTTTAATTGGAATGTTCAGGAAAACCAGCGCTCCAAGCAAAACGTCTCCACCCACATCAGACGAAAGCATTCCAAGGACAGATGACGAGTGACACCCTTTCCAAAACACCTGTCCGTGCGCCTTCCACGGCTGGGTTCTGACTCGGGCGCACGTGAGCACACGGAGACCGTAACTTGCCCACGATCCCACGGGTGATCGGTGGGATCCACGCCAGGTTTCATGGCGCGGAGGCGGCAGGAACTCGATCAAGACGTCTCGGGGGCTTCGCCTGCCTTCCAGCACGTTCTGTCGGTGTAGACAGCTGTGTGCGTTCGGAAGCCCGCGCCCCGCGTCGGGTACGGACACCCTTCCCCGTGTTCCGCCCCCTCCCACCGTGTCTCAGGCTCGGTCAACCCGCGCCCGGCCACTCTCCAGGGCCCCCCGTCCCGCCCCGTGCCGATCCGCCCTCGGGGAAGCGCATCCAGTCGTTCGGTACCAATCGTCGGCAGTAATGACGAATGGCAGCGCCAAGTGCAACGTCTGAGCGGGCTTTCACCTCTTCCGGGACTCCGCTACACGCACCGAAGTCACGCAGGAGAGTGATGGCCCGGCCAGGCCCCGGCGTCCCCCCCGGGCGGCACCCAAAAGGCGCCCGCCACCCCGAGCTCCCTCACTTCCTTCTCCACGGCGCGGCGCGCGTCTGGGACTCCCGCCGCGGGCGCGCGCACCGTTCCCAGCAGGCCCCGCCCCCCTCCCCCTCAAGCAACCCGGCCTGCGCGCCCCCGCGCCGCGCGCGCCCCCGCACTCACTTGTAAGGCACAGGCCAGTGGCGCCGGGCGCCTCCGCCCCACGCCGGAGACCAGCCGGAAGCTACCGCCAGCCAGAATAGCGTCAGGTCCCAACGCCAAAGCGCGCGCCCCGGAGACGTGCGCGCGCCGCGCTGGTCTGCGGTCCCCGTCCCGGCGGTCCCGGTCCCGGCGGTCCCCGCCGGCTCCATAGACGGTTTGGGTGCTTCCGCCACCTCCAGAGCCTCTCGACGGCAGAAGCCCAGGCAGCGCCGTGAGCGCGCCCCCGCGATCCCGCGCCCCCGCGATTCCCCGCCGCCGCCCGGACCGGGCTCGGCTCAGCGCGCCACCGCGCATACAAGTTGTCCGCGGTGCCCGTCCAGGCGTGCGTGACGCCTCGGAGCGCGTGACCCCGCCCCTCCCGGGCGCCGTGCGCGTGACCGTCCCTCCCGGGCGCCGTGCGCGTGACCGTCCCTCCTGGACGCCGTGCGCGTGACCGTCTCTCCCGGACGCCGGGCGCGAGACCCCTCTCTCCTAGTGCGTCGGTGCGGCCTACAAACTTGGCCCCTCGGGCCTGGCTCCTGGGAGAACTGCGCGGGGAGGCGCGGTGCGGGGAGGGCCTGTGCCGTGCACCCGCGCTGACCTCCGGCCACCGCCACCGAAACAAGAATCCACTGAAAGTCCAGGCTTCGACCTGGATCCTTCGGACTCGTGCTCCCCGCCCCACCCACTGGGCCCAGAGGAGCCCTCCAAAAACGAGAAGTGGAAGGAAGTCTCTATTTGAATAATGAAGAAGGAAAACTGCAAACGAAAACCATTAAAAAGGGGGGGGGGGTGACTCATCCGTCACCAGGCTGAGCCCCGGATGCAGCCGTCATCACCCGCAGGCCCTAGCCCGCGCTGCCTCCATCTGCCCGTGCAGTCCCCTCCCTCCCGCCCCCCCCCCCCCACCGAATCAGGAAGAAGATTCTGGTTTTGTCCCTTCACCATCTCCAGACCACCGTGGGATCTGCCAGGCTGCTGCACACAACGGCTGGTTTAGATCTAAGTGCATCAACAGCGTTGACTCATGGGCCCTGTTTAAGAAGAAAGCCACTACAGCAATCCTAGGCCAGGGCGTTCAGATTCCTTCACTTTCCCAGTGACGTGTGAATCGTAATAGGTGCAAATATACTGGAATAAGCAAGGTGTCTTCTGCGGACAGCGGTGACCTCCACAACACCACGGGGGGAGGGGGATGTGAATCACTCTTCCCTACAGACAGAAGGCAGGAAAGAGCGGAGGAAGGGAGGAAAGGAAGAAAGGACTCTTTCCCACATGCTGTACCAAGATGGGAGTTGTGGGGAAATCCAGACAAGGCCGACATCCACGTGTCTAAAGCTCATTGAGATGAATCCCTGAATCCATTATACCATTGAAAATGACCCAAATCAACCTGGCTTCTTCGAAACCCCATCCAAGATGAGAAGGAAAGTCATTCAAGCCATGAAAGTTGATTTGAAGGGCACCTGTAAGATTCTGTGTGCACCCACCCTTGAACATGACTTCCACACTACTTCAGAGGGTCAGTGCTCCAAAGTCAGTGCCTTTAAAGGTACAGTTGGCTAGAGTGCCACAGTGGAGCTTGCCATAACGCTCTTGCCTTCTCTGGGCTATAAAAACATATCCAGATTGACATTGGCCAATGGTGGGAACTTCCCTCTTGGTTTTGATGGCTTTGCTTTGTACAGAAACCTCTCAAGGTGAGACAGTGTTTCCTCGCATGGCCCTTACAAACTCTGGTAGCTGCCATTCCTTCCCCAGGTGACAACTTGGGTTAAGCTCTGCTCCTCTTGGCTATGAGCCCACATCCAAGCTAGTGTCCTGTTTATACAGATCCAATGGCTTTCTAAAGCTTGGGAGCCAAGTTTGAAGCCATCAGTGGCTTAGTCCTGTAATCCTAGCTATTCAGGAGACTGGGATCTGGAATATCATGGTGCATGACCACCCTGCACAGAAAAGATCCCTAGGCTGCATCAACAAAAAGCATGACTTAGAGGCATGGCACAGCTGGTAGATAGTCCACCTAACAATCATGCTGTTCCAACTTCACACCCCAAAGGGGGAACAAAGTTTGAAGGCCAAAAGAATTGAATTTTAATCGAATTGTTTTCTCTCAGGACCTTGCCTAACTTGTAGTCCAACAAAATCAATTTTACTAGGCCATTGCAGTATAAGACACTACACCAGAGGATGCATTCAAGCATCTCCCTGGATAAATGAACAAGAGTGTTGTCATAATATTCTGGGGACGTGTGTTGAACTCTGAGCAGTATTTTGCCTGGCTCAAAGCCCAACAAGGCTGTGTGATACACAGGGGTTGCCTGAGATCTAGGTTACAAAGTAGACACAGGGGTCCCATTTCTTCACCAACAACTGAAATTAAAAAAGAGATGGAATTTAAATACAGATGGGATTTTGACTCCAGAAACCCCTTATCAGAAGTTTTTTGTCTTTCTGCATTAGAGTGAGGCTGATTCTCTGAGATTTTATTTATACTGATATAATTTCAAAAAAGAAAATTTTAGAGATCAAAGTTTCTCTGTGAATAAGTCAAGAAGGTAATGACACTTTATTATTTACTGTGGTTATATATATTTTTTCTGGTAATTTTGAGGCTGATTTTATCTGTCTTTTGTAAATAGCAGGGCAAATTTTTTTAAAAATATATTTTTTTGTCATTGTAAAGGTGATACACAAAGGGATCACAGTTAAGTGATGAGGTTATGAGTACATTATTCTTGAACCATGTCATCCCTTCTCTTGTTCTCTCCCAGTTTTTCCCTCCCATCCCCACCCCCACAAACTTGTATAGTTCATTTCCACATAGTGTCTAGCGAGTACCACTGCTGTATTTATTCTCCCTTTGTAGTGGGGCAGATTATGAATCGAATTTTCAACTAATATTTGTTTTGTTTTGATGATACTAATGTTTGAACTCAGACCCTCATACTTACTAAACAGGAGCTGTACAACTTGAGCCACTCTGCCAGCCTTCTACTTATGAATATATAAATGATAAAGCCCTGTATCTACTTTGGAGAAGATATCTATCTGGAAATATAATGCTGGACATAAGTCATGGTAGAAGACTGCACACCCCTGAAGCTGATTCTAGCACTTGACCTGATTGTGTGTGTATGTGTGTGTATATGGACACATATGCAGGCTGAATCCAGGCTTTCATGAACACTGGGCAAGTGCTGTGCCACTGAGCTTTTTGTTTTTGACCATGTGTATGTAGGAAAATGAAGTCATTCTCAGCTTGGCTGAACATTGGGACCACCTGGTTGACATCAAATCCATCAGTGCCTGATGGATTGAGTCCTCCCCAACAAATCTATGAAAAAGTGTTACTTTTGGCTTTCAGATTGAGGTAATGCAGACACAGAGATATTCCTTTCTAGGTATCCTACAAGGCAGTGAAGGTAGAGTCAGAGTCGACCCCCAATCTTAGAGCCAGAGTTAGTTGATCCCAGTTCTGGAATGCATTGGTCTTTTTAGCTTGATATCTATGGCTACAAGTATACTTTCACAAGCAGCTGCTCGTTCTCCTACTTTCTGAGCATGTCATGTATGCTTCTCTTTCCCAGTGTGGAATTACTGACGTTCTCTGGCCATGTCATCTTACCAGGTCAAGGGCCTCACAGGTGCGTAGTCTTCTACCTATGACTATGTTTTGCATTCCACCTCCAGGGTAAAGGGAGGTCTCTTGTTGGAAGTATATGTAGGGCTTTCTTTAGTTATGAGTTTCTCTTGGAAGAAGATAATAATTTAAAGAAATTAATAATTTAACAGGGCACTGGTGGCTCACACCTGTAATCCTAGCTACTCAGGAGGCTGAGACCTGAGGATCGCGGTTCAAAGCCAGCCCGGGTAGTCCAATAAACCACCAGAACATCAGAAGTGGCACTGTAGCTCAAGTGGTAGAGCGTTAGCCTTGAGCTGAAGAACCGAGGGACAGCACTCAGGCCCAGAGTTCAAGCCTCACGACCGACAAAAAAAAATTAATAATTTAAAATCCAGCCAAGGAAGTAAAGATGTATTTCCTGGATATTGCTGATTTCATTCTTTAATTATAGAAGAATGCATTTCCATCAAGTAGCTGGTGAATCCAAGTGGAACGAAGTAATGACATTTGTTGCTCTTGCTTTTCTGCAAAAACTAGGTTACATAAAGAGTTTTGGACTTTCTAAGACTTACATTTGTGAAGCACAGACTATTGTAATCCTGATACCCTCACTGCCAATAGTTTTCAACAGGTTTTGATATTGTTTGCTTTTTGGTTGTAGTAATTAAATATACACAACATAAGTGTTACATTTTTAACCTTTAGTTGTTCACTTTGTTAGCATTAAGTATATTCACAAGGTTGTGAGACCATTCTTTGGGTCCGGTCGTGGGGCCTGAACTCTGGGCATGGGCGCTGTCCCTCAGCTCTTCAGCTCAAGGCTAGTGTGTTACCACTTGAGCCATAGCACCACTTCTGGTTTTTTTTTTTCTGCTTATGTGGTGCTGAGGAATGGAACCCAGGGCCTCATGCATGCAAGGCAAGTGCTCTACCACTGAGCCACCTTCCCAGCCCCTGTGATACCATTCTTTTCTACAACTTTTTCTTCACCCCAAAAGAACATTTTCATCCTAGCTAAGACTGCTGGGCGGTGTACTATGCACCCAGATGGAGAACCACTGCTCTAGAAGGTTTGCCTGTAAGTGCAGTTTTAGTCAATTTCCAACATCTTTCAGTCCTATACTTCCTTCTCAATAAAGCTGGGTTCATTTTTCAAACAAATCAATCAAACAAAAACTATATATATGTATACACACCCATATATGAATGTATACACTTATACATATGCTTAGACATAAATATAAAACATGCATGTATTTGAAACCCAGCCTCCTTGTGATATTTCTGGCTCCTTTCATTTTTGAAGCTAAAACTGTAGCTTTATTTTCTTCCTACTAGTTGAGTTGTAATATTTGTAGCTTGTCTGGCCTCAAAGGCTCACACAAATTAGTGGTTTTACCAGCTTTCTTTTTAGCTGTAGACTCTAAGATTGATTTGCTCTATTGTTTTCATACAGGCAAGGACTTCATTTATTTTTATTTCTATTTGTGGATGAAGTTGTTTGCTCTTAATGCCAAGCAGATGAAAATTGTTAATCACTTGAAAGAGAGCCCAGTAGAAGAAGAGAAATGTGTAGGAGGAGAGTGCCAGGAGAGCCAGTGGGGACATAGATTTGGCA